TTGAGAGTAGATTCTAAATTTCAAATCACAATCAGAAAAATTATCCTGAGAGGCTCCATGTGCATCACCATCACTATCATTCTTGGCGGTTTCCACGTATTCTTCTTCCTCGGTCTCCTCTATGTCAGCCTCCTCCTCCTTGACCTTAGGAGCTGATATGCGATTAGACCCAGCTCTACTCCTTTGTGCTCTACTGTTAGGCGGTTCTTCTTCATTAGCCCCTGTGGATAGCTCGACATCAAGCCAAGTAAGATCCTCACCCTCTAACACATGTTCTAATGGTGGATCCGTGGTCCGCTCACGTGTGCAATCACCATCAGTTTCATACAATTCCATAGGGTTGAGTTCCATGCGCTTCTGATACTTCTCTCTAAGCCGCTCATTATATCGCACATAAGCCAAATCATTCAACTTCCTCTGCTCCAACCTTTTTTTTTTTTGGTATGGAGCTATGGTAGAAAACAAAGAAACAAGCAAAAGTAAGAAATGCTATTTTCTTGTTTCTACGTTTACACTTCTTAGATAAGTTAAGTTTAGGAAGTTGAAATCCAAGAAATAAGGATTGAGGACTTATATGCTCAAATGCATTCCAATGATGTTCGCAAACAGATGAGCTACATGTGATACTCAACACTCGAATAGCGAGATGTAGATTTGATGTTTCGCTTCCCTATAATGCCCACCATGTGACTGTATAAATATTTTATTATTTTTATAAATGGAACTCTACTTAAACTAGTAAAAAGTTGTAAAGCAAACAAAATAGAAATTAAGAAGGGTACTTTTGGCCTTTACTTGGATCTGTAGATTCCCTATTTCGAGTAGCAATCTCTCTCCCAAAGTTTCTCAAGGCTAACTTGAACTTAATCAATTCGTGGCTCTGGAACTCATCTTGGATATCTTTTTCAGGGACCAATATTTCAAGCACATCTAAGAACCCACCATTTATTACACGATCAGATTCAATGGATACGTGCTTGTAGTGAAGAGATGGATTTAAAAAGTAACTGGTTGAATGGAGGTGCCTGTGAAGCTGGTTATCCCATCTCCTGTCAATAATTCCAATTATAGTCTTGCATTTATTTTCATCATCCTTTAAGGACTTTTCTCTCTCATCTTGCTCTAGCCGTTGCCTCATGTATGTAGCCCATGATGGGCTTCACATCACCATCAACCAATTGAAGCACTCTCACTAAAGGGCCGGCCACCTCCAATGCAAGATATATTTGATTCCAAAAAGATACATTCAAAATAATTTATTCAGTCTTTCTCCCATCCCGATGCTTTGACCACTTACTTTGACTCCATTGCTCTGAAGCAAACATGGTCCTCAAGGCATTTTGATGCTTGCATAGGCTTTGAAGAGTGGAAGATGTGGCAAATCTAGTGATACCCGGTCTCACTAATTCTCTGTTCTTTGTAAAAGTCCTCATCATGCTAAGGATTATGGTGTGATCATAGTTACTAGAATCTCTCCACCGACCTCGCGTTTCCGTTTTGAATTCCGTATTTTCGTTAAGGAATCTCCACGAAAACCTTGTTTCGGAACCAAGGAAACTCGATTCCTTAATTTCGGAATCTCGAGTCGACACATCTTTAGAAACCTTTTTATGGAACTAAGGAAACTTGATTCCTTCATTTCGGAATCTCGATTCAACACATCTTTAGAAACCATTTATTGGAACCAAGGAAACTCGATTCTTTAATTTCGGAATCTCGATTCGACACATCTTTAGAAACCGTTTATCGGAACCAAGGAAACTCGATTCCTTAATTTCGAAATCTCGATCCAACATATTTAAAACTTGAACCCATTAATTACGGGTAGACGTTTCCAAATATATCGAATTTGGATTCTAGCGAGGATTAAATCTTGATTCCATGTTAATTGGAGTAGAAATCTTCCTTCAAATGCTTCTAGTGGTTGCAAGGTTTCATTATTTTACTTGTGCCACCTTGGATGGCCTTTACTTTAAATTTTAAATATAATTGGTAAATACAACACATACAATTAAAAGTAAAACCATGACGTAGGGATAACCCTATTTTGTCTTTATAAGAATGAAGCCAAAATCAAAATTTTGTATATAATGACCATAAGTTCAATAGTCAACACAATCACTTTAAAATTCGATAAACCTTCTAATAAAAGACATCCAATATAGTTTCTAAAGTTGATGCTCAAGATGTGCTTGTGGCTTCCTTCTCCATAAAAATGAAATCTTGATTCCTAGTAGGGGTCGTCAAACGCATTCCACAGTCCATGTTATTGTGAATCTCAATATCAAATTGGCATGGATCTCTGATTTATATCCTTTAAAGACTTGATTCCAAATATGTTAGAATCACGATTCGAAACAACAACATATCTATGTTCCAAATATGTCAGAAACCCGATTCCATAGATGTCGAAAACTCGATTCTACATATTAAAGAATCTTGACTCCTGGAGTGTCGATTCCAGGGGGATGGGAATCCCGATTCCAAGGAGGACAGAATCTCGATTCCATAGGTGGATGAAACTTGGATCTATTTCGGTCAAAACACGATTCTAAAAAACTAGGAATCTCGTTTCTAGCAATTCCTATTGTACCGACAACGATTCTTAAGACAAGAATCTTCTAGCCGGCCAAACAATTCGGGTTCCCAGGCGTTCCAACAACTATGGGTGTGATAATAAATAAATCCAACGACAAACTCAACTTTTGAAATCACCCCACTAAGTAAAGATGTTGTACCCATGTCCTTAATCATGAGATTAACACAATGAGCTGCGCAAGGAGTGCAAAACATATGCGTCTTCTTCAAAATAAAAAATGCCCAACTACACTATAATTGGCACCATTGTCAGCGACAATTTGTACCACATGTTTCTCTTCAACAAACTCTACAATCTCATCCATCAAGCCACATAAGTGTATAGCATCATGTGACTTGTCTAATGCATCAACATACTTAACAAAAAAGGTACCCGTTGGACAGTTAACGAAAAAGTTAATGAATGACCTCGACTTCCCATTGGACCATCCATCACAAATCATAGTGGCCCCATACTTCTCCCACCCTTCTCTTTGAGAAATCAAAATTTTGTTAACATTAGATGCAACATCCTTCAATAAGGGCTCCCTAATCTCATAAAGTGAAGGAGGATTAAGTCCTGGGCCAAATTGCCCAATTGCTTGGACCATACATGTAAAACTATCGAGGTTTATAGTACTAAAAGGAATGCCGGCCATGTAAAACCACTTTGCGATGTATTTACATACCTTTTTCCTCTCTTTTTTCTTATATAGATTTTCAATTGTGGTTGGTTTTGTTTTTTTCCTCCTCTTCTGACCCAAAATTTCGGGTTTAGGGGTGAAAAAAGCATCCATTGGCCCTTTAGAGAGGTGTTTTTTTTCCAACACTACCACCAATATTTATAACCCTCTCTCTTGAGATTGGAGTACCCATTTGCCTCATTGCATCTTCTGATATATCCTCCTCATCATTATCATCATCAAATAATTGCATTTCATCAATTAATTCTTCTTTTTCCATTTTTTTCTTCCCGTCGTGCTTTTTCAAGCTATCCATGTATTCCGTAATCTCCTTTTTTATCTCTTTGGTAGCTTGTGGGCATGCTCTTACATTCCCAGAAATACTGGCTAAGTGTTCTTTTGGCCGAAAAATCCCACATATATAAGTATTCCATAAAGCATACAAATCACACATTCGATCTTTCGGATTTTTAAGTTCAGCATATTTCCATGGCGGATCCTTATTACTTGAAGATTGGGAAGAAGACATTGCCCCAAAAAAAAAGTATTACTGTAGAAGGAAAAAAAGTTACCAATTTGTTGTCAAAACTTCGCCTAAACTTCCTCAAATCAACAACCAAAACAAACAAATCAACAAACAAACATCAAACAATTCAAAAAGTGAAGAATTTCACCCAAAACAATTTTCACAAAATATTGTTTTTTAATCGATCGCATTCAAGAAAGCCATGGATGTGGCTGTATTTTGTTATTTGGTGGTTTAATACCCCGTAAACCCTTTCCCCCCACTTTTGGGGTTCAAGAGGTCCAAAATGCCCCTGCTCGAGGATTTTTTTTTTTTCACAAAATTGGCGAGCCGCATATGCAGATTATGCGGTGTATGTGGGATGCGGCCCCGTATGCAGAGAGATGCGACACATATGCAGGCACTTCTCTCCATAGCGCATATGCGGGACCATGCGATGCATTGGGCAGCGCATATAGCATTATATGTCCGCATATGCGTTGATGCAGCCACATTTTAAAACCATTATTATCACCACCATTATCTTGTTTAATGAATAATATATCTACAGATATTATTTATCGGAAAAGCTGGGATTAGCCCACTAGCTCATATGAATATATGAGCCCAACAACCTATATTGAATTTGGGCTGATCTGACGATCACAGATGTCTGGTAGTGTTTGAATTTTATTTATTTTTCTACAAATCCAAATCACTTGAAATTTTAGGCATGTGTTTATCAAAAATAGGTGAATCTTTGAAAAATATCACAAAAATATTTTACATAAAATAAATTGACCAAAATACCGCCGAAAAGTATCGGGAGGTTTTGGTCATTTTTTTGGCAAATAAGTTTTTTTTTTTTATATTTTTATTAGGTGCGTCTTGAT